CGATAGGTTCGAGGCGGTAGATGTAGCCAGTGCGGGAGCGTATGTAGTCTGAATCGCCGGCGTGATCGGCATCGACGTAGCCGATTAGTTTCGTCAGTGTAGTTTTACTCTTGTAGTATGTCAGGTTGATCGTCGAGGTGCTCACGAGGTAGTGGAGAGCGCGGTCGAGTTCCGCCAGGTGTTCTGTTTCGGGCCTTTTGAGATAGGTAGCAAGTTGACTTGCGGAGTAGGACAGATCTGGGAGGCAGGTGACGGCTGCGAAGAGAAGGCAGCCCAGCTTCCTCTGGTAGTCGCGTATTCCGGCGGTTTTGAGTAGAGCGGGACCTCCTTTGTCGTTCCCTCCCGTGTAGCGGTATGGCGTGGAGATAGTGGTAGGTGTGAGCGAGAAGCGTTTGGCGATAGTGTCGGCATACTTTTCGGCGCTAAGATAGATCGCGTTCTCTTCTTCGCGGATGTTGAGTCCGAGGTACTGAGTGACGGTAGAGGAGACCGTGAGTGTAAGATCCCTCTGCAGCTCCCCTTCGAACCAGGTGGTGACGTCGTCGGTGGAGCCAATGTAGAGTAGGTCGTCGACGTAGACGATTAGCAGCATATAGTCGGCGTTTTTGGTGAGTCGATACATTCCTTGGTCGTGAGGTAGTTGGCGGAATCCGATGCGAGTGAGGCGAGTGTGTAGGTGCTTTTGCCACAGCCGCGGGGCTTGTTTGATACCGTAGAGTGATTTCAGTAGCTGGCAAACTTGGTTAGGTTCCCCGTGGGTACCGTGTGGGAGCTCGACGAAGATTTCGGTGTCGACGGGTGCGTAGAGGAACGCGTTGGCGACATCGATTTGTCGCAGTTTCTTCTTCTTCATAGCGGCGATCGCGAGAAGAATTCGGAGTGAGGTATGTCGGCTGACCGGGGCGAATGTCTCGGTGAAGTCCCGTCCGTGTTCCTGGTCGAATCCACGCACGACCCAGCGTGCTTTGAATTTCTCGATTGTACCGCCTGCCTTTGTTTTAATGCGGAAGACCCATTTCCCGGTGAGGATGGTCTTGTTCCTTGCCACGCTTACGGGAACGACTTTCCAGGTGTTGCGTTCCTCCAGCGCCTTTAACTCTCTGTCCATGGCTTCACGCCATTTCTCCCTGTGTTCCCCCCCCAGAGCCTGCTGAACTGTCGCAGGCTCTTTAGGAAGAGCATTGCCGTGGACTGCGGTGACGAGGCCGAGAATCTGCAGTCCAGTCTGTGAGTAGCGGGGGAGAGTTGTGTCCTCGGGATAAGCTGCTTCATCTCCCGCTTCTGGGTCGGGTATGAAATTCGGCCCTATCCGTTCTGCTTCGTTGGTGTTGACTGTCGCAGGTATTACGTAACCGTTGTCGGCGAAGTGGTAGAAGACTTCGGCGTTGGCGCTTTCGTGAGGATTTTCTTCGTTCATGGGGACGTTGATGGAGCAGAACGGTAGAGGTCCGGCTTCTTCTGATGCGTTGTCGACGTTCTGCTCGTCCCAGTCTGCTTCGTCCGCTGCTGAGGCGAAGGCTCGGTCACCACGAAAGCCACCTGTGGGGTCCTGATTTTCGTGCAAGTTGGCAAGGTACGTCTGAAGCGTGAGTCGTTCGTAGAAGATCACGTCACGTGCTGCTACTGTTTCCTTGGAGTGGACGTCGAAGATTTTCCACGCGTTGTGATTCTTTTCGATGCCGAGGTGTAGTCCCCATTGTGCGCGTTGTGAAAATCTTCCCGCTCGTGCTTTTGGGGGTCGGTACTGTACCATGCACCCGAAAATCGAGTGGCGGCGTCGATGAAGGTTATCGTGTAGTTGTAAGTAACTTGTCCTGGTTCTCGATTGAAGAGAATATCGCTGTACACCTTCTCGAGTGGTGCGTACGCGGGTGCGCTCGGGTTGTGGTGAGGAGTAAACGGTCGATGTGGTAAGTCGGCTTCGGGGCAGGTGAGGCAAGTTCCTCGTGCCCGTTGAAGTTCTCTGCCGTCGGGTAGTAGTAATGAATCCTTGTCTAGGACTCCTGCTCTTATTGTATTATTTAACACGGTGTTGCTTGGATGTCCCATGCATGCGTGCCATATGTCTTCGGAGGCGCGGTGTCCGGGTGAGCGTCGATACGCATCGGAGTTGGAGTAGAAGCTGGCAACGAAGTTTGCGCTTCTGTGGACTTCTCGTTGAGTTGGGTTCAGCTGCTGTGCGAGTGTTGGTGGTGCTTCGTCAACGAGAACTGGTGTCGCTGACGATGGTTCTGCTACTGCCGATGATGTTTCTGCTGCTGCCGATGTTGTCTCTGCTGCTTCTGCTGCTGCCGATGTTGTCTCTGCTGCTGCTGGATGTTGAATTGTTGCTAACGCGCATGTTCGTTCTGCTTCAGGGATGGTATGCCAGTACCAGAAGCCTTCCGGGCTGAAGTCTGGATCAAGATATGGAGGGTGCGTCCAGTCGGCGAAGTTCACGATGGCGTCGCTGTCTGCGGTGCCCAGGTCTGGGACGAAGTCAAGGACAAAAATGTTATTCTTCAGAACCGCCTTTCCGATGTAGAGGCCGCCCTTCACGTGGTACAGTTTGAACTCCTGGGTGGTGCTGTCGGCTTCCAGGTTTATGCCTTTCGCCATCAGCTGACTGACGCTCAGTAAGTTGTAGCCGAGTCCCTCTGCTATTAGGACTTTCGACATTTGTAGTACGACGTTCGTCTCCCGTGACTGAAGCTGTACTATGCCTTGTCGTCTTGTTCGCAGGTTCTGATTATTGGCGATGCTGATGACGACTTCTCGTTGAAGTCGGTGCTCGCGTTGAACGAAACGTCCTGAGGAGCACATGTGTTGTCCGCAGCAACTGTCCAAGAACCAAGTGTCTCTTCCGGATGGCTCGCTTTGAGCGATGGCGGCGTATGTCGGGTTCGGCTGAAGTGACTCGCGGCGAGGTGTGGTTTCGTCAAGTCGTTCTTCTGGTGAGTAGTGCGGCGGTGATTTGGTGATGCAGGAATCTGTTGTCTTTGCCATGCAGTTGACGATGTTTCTTGCTCCTTGTGCAGGTTGTCCTATTGGAGTCGTTGAGGTTTGAATCTTTGTCGTGGGAGTTGCTTGCGTTGAAGTGACTTGGGAGCTTGAAGGCCGAAATTGTCGCGGTGGTGTTGTCGATTGCTGGCGATACGGGCAGTGCGTACGAGGATGCCCTGAAGTCTTGCAGATATGGCAAAACGGAGGTACTGGCTTCAATTGTTGTTGCTGCCGATTGTTGTTGTTGTAGCGTCGCTGGGTGTGAAACGCGAACTCTGGTACTGACGTTTTCTTCTTATGTCGTTCTTCTTGCAGGTCCATGTCTTGCTGTTCAGCATGGATTTCGGCGCAGAGTGGTGCTTCGGAGATTCTCCCGTGTGCCCGTAATATGGCGCGAGTGGAGCGCCAGTGAGGGCCTAGACCACCGATGACAACCGTGACAAAGGCGTCTTCTGAAATCGATCCTCCACATCGAAGAAGCTTGTCGCGCAGTTCGCGGCAGCAAGTGATATATGCCATGCCCTTCTCGCCTGATTTCATTTCGATTGTTGCCAGCTGCGCCATTAACCGGCTTTGGTTTACGCTGTCTGTTGCTTGATACAGGTTCTTCAAGTGGTTGTACGCGAGCTCCGCGGAGTTACCGTAACCTCGGTAAGTCCTTATGTTCTGCTGTTGAGTCGGGGTGATGTTTCTTAGTAGTATTGTGTACGCCATCATCGATTGATAGGTGTACTGTTGCTTCTCATACTGCGTGCCGTTTGTTGGATATGGCAGGGACCCGTCGAAGAAGCCAAGGATCTGCGCTCCTTCCATCATCGGCTCGAATTCGAACGACCAGGTAAAGAAATCCTTCCCGTCGAAAGGTTTTGTCGTTTGTAGTTTCAGAACATGCGCGAATTGCGACTAAACTTGTAGTGCGTCCAGTGCTCTTTCTTGTCCCGGTGCAGGTTGTGGTTGCGGCATGAAGCTGACGGAGCCGCGCTGGGGCTCGTACGGAGCGAAGGTAGGTTGTTGATGTTGATTCCCGCGTGCGTAGGATGAGCCATCGAGACTCATGGGCGTCACGTTGTTGTTGTTGTTGCTGTTGTTTGATTGCGCAGGTACTCCTTGCTGATGCTGCTCGTAGAAGGACATGAAGGAGAAGAATTTCTCCATCATACTTGGATCGAAGCCCGCGCCTTGGTTTGCGGGTGTTTCCGTAGACCCAGCTGCTGGTCTAGTTGTTGTCCCTTCCTCTGTCAGTAGGCCAGAGGCAGGAGGTGGAGTAGGGGTAGTACCGGGAGAGCCGTTGGAGGAGCTCCTCTCCTTTCTAGTAGACATGTCTTCTTGATGTATTAAGTGTTGAAGAGAAAATTTTAACTTTAACCAGCTCTCATACCATGTTGGGCTGGACGCCCTAGGATCTTTAGTAGAGTTAAAGTCTGAGTAAATGATGTAGTAGCGGAAGCGTTTGAATAAAGTCCTTGAACCACCTTGCGCTAGTATGTGAGGGCAAAGTAAGTTAATTAAACCAAAGAGATACAGGAATATATATATGAGTACAGAGAATATGAAGAGACATAATTGTAACTGTTTTACTGTTGCGGTTCGATACAGTGCGACTCGGGCAACTGCTCAATGTCGAGTCAGTTGTGTGTCCTTGCTGTCGCGCTGCGTCAGGTCAAAGGTCGCTGACCTTTTGACTTTCTCGTAAGCTCCAGCGGTTACGTTAATCTCCGAGGGTTGACTTGCGGTGCTTCGATTTGAGCTGCTTCGCTTCTGTCTTGAGTTTCGACACGACAGAGGCGCTTAAGACTATTTGTTCCCAACACCCCCCACCGTCACCCACGCTTCCCCCCACCGTCGCCAACGCTTCCCCCCACCGTCGCCCACGCTTCCCCCCACCGTCGCCCACGCTTCCCCCCACTGTCGCCCACGCTTCCCCCCACCGTCGCCCACGCTTCTCCCCACCGTCGCCCACCGCCACTGTCGCCCACCGCCACCGTCGCCCACCGCCACTGTCGCCCACGCTTGCCCTCCTATCGTCCTCGCTTAGCCTTCCCGCCGACCTCCCTTCTCTCCTCCTCTCTCCACGTCGTCATCACTCCCCTGCCCATCACGTTCCCCCTATTCACCATCGCTTCTCTACCCATGGCGCCCACCCTCTCATCCCTTCCCATCGCGTGGGGTGTGGGAGGGTGCGTGGTCAGCAGCACCCTTCCGTCGCATACACGTTCATTCATTACCCCTTCCCTCATCTCCCCATTCCTCATCTCCCCATTCCTCATCTCCCCTTCCCTCATCTCCCCATCCCTCACCTCCTCATCCCTCACCTCCCCATCCCTCTCCTCCCCAGCCCTCTCCTCCCCATCCCACACCTCCCCATCCCTCATCTCCTCATCCCTCATCTCCCCATCCCTCATCTCCCCAATCCGCCTCACCCCATTCCGCCCCGCCCCACCCCATTCAACCCCACCCCTTTCTGCCCCACTCCATTCCGCCCCACCCCTTTCTGGCCCACCCCATTCCGCCCCACCCCAGCCTCCTCCCCAGCCTCCTCCCCACCCTCCTCCCCACCCTCCTCCCCACCCTCCTCCCCACCCTCCTCCCCACCCTCCTCCCCACCCTCCTCCCCACCTTCCTCCCCACCCTCCTCCCCACCCTCCTCCCCACCCTCCTCCTCACCCTCCTCCCCACCCTCCTCCCCACCCTCCTCCCCAGCCTCTCTTCCTCCCCTCCCTTCTACTTCTCCCCCAAGCGTCCTCCCTACCTCCCTCCCATCATCACTTCCTCCCTTCCTTCATTCCTGCATTCCTCACTTCTTCCCTTCCTCCGTTCCTCCCTTCCTCATTTGCCAGTTGTCATTCCCTTATACTTCAGCCACGTTACATCTGACTTCTTGATTTGTGTTTGGACAGGTCTGCTCTGCATCTGGTTGTGCATGTGCTAGCTGTTTGATAGTAACACACGTATAGCCATGCCATATATTGGATTTTTTTTTATAATATAGGATTATGAGCCTCAGAGCAATCATACACATGACCAATACCAAGGAGTTCAACAATTAATATATTACCATATCTGTAAAGTAAGGGGAATCACCAGACTCGAGAAGGGAACAAAGCTAGGGGGTTTATGTGTAATGTTGTTTTCTGGTTTTGTCTGCTACACTGCAAACAATAAACCAGGCCGTGGTAAAGCCACATCTGGTGCTGAGCACCTGTAACTGCATTGGGGGGTATGGGGGTGAGTGAAGGGGGAAAGACAGTAAACGGAATGAGCAGAGGGGAAGAGAAGAAGCAGCGGGGGACAGATTGAACAGAGGGGAAGAGAGGAAGCAGGGGGGAACAGAGTGAGCAGAAGTAAAGAGAGTGAGCAAGGGGAAAGAGAGTGAGCAGAGAAGAAGGGGAGGGAGCAAGGGTGAAACAGAGGGAGCAGGGGTGAGCAGGGAAGGCGATAGGGGGAAGCAGGGAAGGAGATAGGGGGAAGCAAGGAAGGGGATGGGGGGGAGCAGGGAAGGGGATGGGGGTGAGCAGGGAAGCGGATGGGGGGATGCTGGGAGGGGGACGGGGGAAGGAGGGAAGGGGACGGGGGGAAGCAGGGAAGGGGAAGGGGGAAAGCAGGGAAGGGGATGGGGGGGAGCAGGGAAGGGGTTGGGGGGAAGCAGGGAAGGGGATGGGGGGAGCAAGTCGGAGGATGGGGGGAAGCAGCGCAGGGGATACGAGGAAACAAGGAAGAAGGGAAGGGTGTATGTGCGGGTTGGAAAGGGGGCGTGACAAGTGTTCGAGATGGGAAGGGAGAAGGGAGGGATGGCGAGGGCAACGAGGAGTGGAAGGGAGGGCGACGGGGAAAACGAGGGCGACGGGGGGAGAGAGACGGGGATTGCGAGGGGACGAACGCGAGACGAAGGGGGGCAACGAGCGGAAGGGAGGGAAAGAGAGCGTGAAGGGGGAAAGAGAGTGAGAAGGGGGGAAAGAGAGTGAGCAAGGGGAAAGAGAGTGAGCAGGGGGGGAAGAGAGTGAGCAGGGGGGGAGAGAGTGAGTATAGGCGTGAGTTGGGAAAACAGGGGCGAGCAGAGGGGGTAAGAGAGCGTGAAGGGGGAAAATGGGTGAGAAATGGGGAAAGTGGGGTTAGAACAAGGGGAGTGAGCAGAGGGAAAGAGAATGAGGAGGGGGGAAGCGAGTGAGCAGGGGGAAAGAGATTGAGGAGGGGGGAAGCGAGTGAGCAGGGGGGAAGAGAGTGAGCAGGGGGGAAGAGAGTGAGCAGGGGGAAAGAGAATGAGCAGGGGGGAAGAGAGTGAGCAGGGGGAAAGAGGTTGAGCAGGAGAGAGTGAAAGGCAATGGGAGGGGAAGTGAATGTGACGGGTGGGGAAGCGAGTGTGACGGGAGGGGGAAGTGAAGGTGACGGGAGGGGGAAGTGAAGGCGACGGGAGGGGGAAGTGAAGGCGACGGGAGGGGGAAATGAAGGCGACGAGAGGGGGAAATGAAGGCGACGGGAGGGGGAAATGAAGGCGACGGGAGGGGGAATTGAAGGCGACGGGAGGGGGAAGTGAAGGCGACGGGAGGGGGAAGTGAAGGCGACGGGAGGGGGAAATGAAGGCAACGAAAGAGGGGGGGGGATGAAGGTGACGGGGGAGATGTGAAGGCGACCAGCGGAGCGAAGGCGACGGGCACGCGACGAGCTGCAGAAGCGATGGCGACGACGCGGGCGAAAGAGAGCGGAAGCGTGGGAAAGGAAAGCGAGGGCGAGGGGAGGGTCACGTTTGGGCGAACGGTTGCGATTCGATTTTCGCCACGAGTTTACGCTACGGAGTAGTTGCACAATAACCTGCATTTCGACACAATAATCTTCACCCAGCGCAAACTAGCTTTGCGCGTCATCATTGCAAATCCGCGCCACCCAAATCATATGGCGCATCTACTCCCTTTTGAGTGAACGCCGACGCCCTGCCCTGTCTACAGGTACGGTCTATGCCTAATACTTTGCGTGCTATCCCAAACTGTGCACAGTTTGATAAGCTCGCGCTTTTCTGGTTGTGGGAAGGGCACCAACCATCATGGGAAGCGAGAAACTTTTGCGCAAATTGGTTTCGCGAGTGAAAATCTATCGCAACCCAATCGAACCTCTCCGTGCCTGCCTCCCGAACCTAGTTTTTAGCGTTGACTTCCGTTGAGTAATTCAGGTCTTGGGCTTTAAAGATTGATCAAACTGGACTGGACAATAAGGACGTGTGTGAAACAAGGGTTTATGAAAGTTCACGTTTTTTACTCGATTTTAGCAGGGTTTTATAACCTGAACTTGAATCGATTTTGAGATGTGGCAAGGTTCGCACCGCGTGTGAGCATTCTTGTTTACTCACAATCACACACCAAGGTGCGAATTTGCAAGTTCGAATTTACAGAGGGGGAACCGAGCCGCAATTGGAGACTGTAGGTTACCCGGTTTCAAGCACACCACAGCGCGACACGTCACCGGAGCGCTGCTAAAAAAAGTGAGCCCTAGACCTCCAGCTCTACTTCACATCTGTGGCAGTTGTGCACGATACAAATATCGGCGAGATGAACCAATTTCCAAGTCAGCATCTCACAATGACTCTCATTCAGCTCGTGCGTTTCCTGGGGATTGTGCTTCAAGGCTACCTGCGATGCCTCGTACTTCCAATGCTCACTGCCATCGTGGCACGAATTGTGCCACGTGGTGGCCATAGCGAGTTCAGCAATGCGCTGTGTCTTGGTTGTGATCTCATTGGCGCACGAATGAGTCGCGAGGTTCGCTGAAACCTCGTACGTGCCTGACACCACACACGTTTGGATCTTTGTGTTTGTGCAAGTTCACGAATTTTTCTGTATCAAGTTCACAAATGAGGGTTCGCACTTCCCAAACGGGCAATTTGTTTCGACTTCGGCGAGGCGGTTAGCGAACATTGGCGAAAAAGGTAACCACCAAAAGTTCGACCCTGATTATGAACTCCATAAAAAATCTCACACGTCCTAACCGTCTTCAAGTCACAGCAATCACGCTTGATCATCATGCTATATGTTACGGGTGCAATGAATCGAGGTAGCGAGAATTGCACTAAGGTGTCAAACGAGTACAAAATGTGAGCGAAGGCATGAGCGAACATTTATACGCGAAACATGCAAAACGGTAACGCGGTGCGTGCGAGCTTGCTAGTGCTACGCTGGAGCGAGGCTCGGGCTAGTCCCGAAGCGTAGGCCGATACGGCCATGCCAGCAGTGCGAGGTTTGGTAAAACAGTGCGCGCAAAGTCGGCGAAGTTCCGTTAGCAGTAACGGGCGAACAATCGGCTGTTGCTGTACGCGATGTAGTCGGCTCCGTAAGGAATGCCGATAAAATTCCTTACACTACCCCCCCCCTCAAGAAGCCCCCTCCGCTACGCGAGTGCGTGTATATCGCGGAATCCCCGGCTCCTCAGGTACACTTGCAGGGCAGGGTGATTTTCGATGTTGCTCAGGGGCACCCAGCTATCTTCAGTTGGCGTGCGGTCTTTCCAGCGAACGAGGAATTCAATCCTCCTGATTCCCGTGGGGTGGCGGATCCGATGGCTCAGATTTTTTTCGGGCTCGATGATCGGCTCTAATGCAGGGCGAGTCATTGATTGTGGCCGGTGACGCGGCAGTTGACTTGTGGTCGGGATGTATGGGCGAAGTAGGCTGACGTGGAACGAAGGGCTGATGTACCAGTCGGTTGGCAACAGTAGGTGTGCGGTGACGGGTGTGATCATGTGACTGATTTGGAATGGTCCACAGTAGCGTGGTCGTAATTTTGGTACGTCGGGCAGTCGCAGATTTTGCGTGTCGAGTAGCACGTAATCTCCAGATTGATACGTGACGGGGCGGCGGTGGCGATCAGCGTTGCGCTTAGCGATGACGTTGGCCTTTTTTATTGCTTCGGCGGCTCTGGCGCGGGCAGCTTGCAGGATTTCGGCGAATTGTTGTGCGCGTGGCGTTGGGTTGTCCGGACTCGGCGTCATGGGCACTGTGGGGTTCTGCCCATAGTTCAGGTAGAACGGGGACTGCTGCGTCGTGGCTGATGTGGCGTTGTTGTACGCGAACTCGATCAGCGGCAGCTGCTGCTCCCAGGTCGTGGGGTCGTCGCACGTGGCACGAATCAACTGCTCCATCGTCTGATTCGTCCGCTCCGTTTGGCCGTCGGTCTCGGGGTGGTACGACGAACTGAACTGTAGCCTGGTCCCGAACTGCTCCCAGAGGTTCTTCCAGAAGTTGCTGGTAAATTTCGTGTCCCTGTCGCTGATAATTGCTGCTGGTATCCCGTGCAGGCGAACAAAGGCTGCGATGAACAGGCGAGCGGTCTCCTCGGCTGAGATCGACTTTTTGCACGCAGCGAAGTGTGCCATCTTCGTCAGCCTATCCACGACGACCATCACCGCGTCGTTACCCCCAGGGTTCGAAGGTAACCCTGTGACGAAGTCCATGGTTACTTGCTGCCAGGCGCGTTCGGGCGGTGGGATCGGCTGCAATTGACCCGCCTTCCGCTTCCTTGAACTCTTCATCACCTGACACGTCGGGCACGAGCCCACGTGCTGCTGTACGTCGGTCAACAGCTCCGGCCAGTAATAGTACCGCTGCAGTTGCTGTCGCGTTTTTTCTACCCCGAAATGTCCCGAGGTAATCTCGTCGTGTGCCTCCTGTAGTAGCAGCTCCCTCAGTAGTGAGTACGCGGGTACCCAAATGCGGTTGGTGTCTGCTTTTACGTAATAGACTCCTTTTGCTTCTGCCAGTTGCTGTGAATTTCCGGTCGTGAAAAATGGGTCGGTGCGGTATCCGTGGGTGAATAGACCAGTTAAAAGCGGGTTGGTCTGGACGAGTAGGATGGCATGGAGTTGGGCGGTGGGGCGGGTGAGAGCGTCGGCGATGTTGGATGCGCCCTTTTTGTACGTAACGGTGTAGTGAAAATTGGACTCGAGATAGTCCAACCAGCGAATCTGTCGTGGGTTGAGATTCGGTTGGGCGCGAAGATACTGTAGCGAGCGGTGGTCTGTCCGTACTGTCACGTCGGCGCCAGTCAGGTAACATCGCCAAACCTTGAACGCGTGCACGATCGCTAGCATCTCGCGGTCGTGTATCGGGTAGTTACGTTCGGGCGGGTGTAACTTGCGGGACTCGTACGCGATTGGCTGGAGGCCGTTCCCGAAATCCTGCAACAGTACTGCTCCCACAGCGATGTCACTTGCGTCGGTGACGAGCTCGAACGGACGGTGGGGATCTGCAATGTGAAGGACGGGCGGGGAGCACAAAATATTTTTGAGGGCCGAGAAGGCAACTTGCTCTTTCTCCCCCCACGTGTACTCAACCCCCTTCCTCAGCAGGTCAGTCAACGGGGCAGTCAGCTTCGCCATGTCGGGGACGAACCGGCGCACGTAGTTGACGAACCCCAGGAAACTCTGCAACTCGGTCAAGTTGGTCGGCGCGTGCCAAGCCTGAATCGTCGCAATTTTCTTCGGGTCTATTTCCACTCCTGCAGCTGAAATAACATGTCCCAAAAACTCCAGGCGGTCCTGTAAAAACTCACACTTAGATGCTTTGGTCAGTAGGCGGTTCTCACTCAGGATTTTAAAAACTGCTTCGATGTCTTGTAAGTGCTGTGCTCTGTCAGGGCTGTAAATCAGTATGTCGTCGAGATAAACGATGACGCACTTATCTAAAAGCGGGCGGAATGCTTCGTTCATGGTCATTTGGAAAGTGGCGGGGGCGTTGGTCAGTCCGAATGGCATGACGGTGTATTCGAAGGATCCGTAGCGTGTTCGGAATGCGGTTTTAGGGCAGTCGGGTGGGTTGACGCGGATTTGGTGGTAGCCTCCTCGGAGGTCGATTTTCGAGAAAACCCGGGCTGTGCGCAGTTGGTCGATCAATTCGTCGGCTCGTGGGATGGGGTAACGGGATTTAATGGTAACCCTGTTCAGTGCCCTGTAGTCGATGCACATGCGAAAATCCCCGTCCTTTTTCGGTGTGAACAGTATTGGTGCGGCGAAGGGCGACGAACTGGGGCGAATGAATTCCTTTTCGAGCAGGTAATCAAGCTGCTTCCTTAGTTCGTCTAGTTCGGGTTGGGTCAGTCGGAACTGTCGCTGCACTGTTGGCTGTGCCCCCGGTTCCAGTTCTATCCTGTGATCGTGCGGTCGCTGAGGTGGCAGTCCCGTCGGTAAGTCATCCGGGAAAATGTCACTGTACTGTTTTAATAGTGCCGCCAGGTCACTCGGTACGTCGGTCAGCAGTTTCTGTAAATCGCCCCCCTTGTCTGCTGCCTCGGCTTCCCGAATGTCAACCGCGTACACGTCAGCTCCGGCCGCAACAGCGCGTTTCATCGTGATCGCGTTGACACGCACCGACGAAGACTCAGGCGAGCCCCAGCGAGGTAAGGCGATGTTGTTACCGTTTACTCGCACGGTGCAGTCACTCGTCGTCCAGTCAATTCGCGGATTGTGTCGTCGCAGCCAATCACGCCCGAGTAAAATGTCGGTTCCGTCGAGGGTCGTTGCGAGCATTTCCTGACTAAACGTGAAGTTACCCCCGCATCGAATCCGAACTCGATCTACGCGTTCCCGTATTGCCAGCGGCGTGCCGTCTACCAGTCGTGCGTCGATCTCAGGTAAGCATCGGTCTAGTGGCAGTCGCAGTTTGCGTGCTGTAGCAGTGTTAATGAGGCTGTGGCTGGCTCCCCCGTCTACGAAGATTTTAACTAAGTCCGTCCCAATTTTCCCACTGAGCAGTATAGGGCTATCTACCGTGGTACCCTCCTTATTCGGCCGGGTGTGGTCGATTGCGTGAACCGGCACAATCACTCGGTGAGGGTCGGTTGGGTCGGGCGAGCGGCGTGACCTGTCAGTAGAGGGCCCGTCTGCTACTGACTTCCAGCGTTTCCCTGCTGCTTGGTCTGTGTCTGCTGCTCAGCTTCCCCCTTTCCCTTAGCGTTTTCCGGGTATTCGCTCTTGCGATGTCCCGGCCGATTGCACGCAAAGCAGCGCCCTTTGAATGGTGCGGCAGCGGCATTTGCGGCGACGGCGCGTATCGTGGCGCTTTCGTTCGTCCCACGAGGCCGATGTCCCCAGTTGTTGTTTCCGTAGGACCCCGGTCTCGGTCGGCGAAAGAAGTCGAGCTTCTCCGCCATAGCGAGAATTTCCTGAAATTCGGTGACGCCGCGAAGCTGGATTTCCTGAGCGATGTCCTGCTTCAGGCCGCCGATGTAGCGGTCGATGCGTTCGCTCTCATGCATGTAGCCCACCTGCTCGCATAGCGCCAGAAATCCGCTCGTGTAATCCTGGACGGAACCGAGTTGGCGCCAAGTGCGGAGCTTCTGTCGCGCCGAGATCGAGGCCGCGATTGGCTCGAATCGAGCGCGCAGACCTGCGCACCACGCGTCCCACGTGCGATACTGGGGCACCTCCACGAAATACGACGGCGCCCAGGGTCCGGTTTGTCCTTCCCGTGTCGGTAGTGTCGCGTAGTCGGTCGGCTTCGTGACGATGACGCGCCACCAGTCCATGGCGGGTCCTCGCAGCAACGACACGGCGTATCGAATCTTCGCCGAGTCCTCCGAGACGTAGTTGGCGTCGAAGAAAACATTCATTGTGAATAACCACGCCTGAACGGTAGGACCACCCCGTTGACTCGGGTCAAAGCATGGCGGGCGCTGCGGCTTCAGCGGCATCGGTGACGGCAGTCCCGAATCGTGGGTTGGTGCCGAAATCGTGACGCGAGGCTGACTTGGGGCCGCAGGCGACGCTCTGGGGTGTGTCGTGCCGTGGTCGTCGTCTCCGTCGGGGCGGACGACGCCATCACTGGTCGCGCTCGCGGGTTGCCCCACACTCCCGTGTTGTGATGTTGAGGGTGCGGGTTGAATCGGAGTGCCAGGTGCTTGAGATTGTGCTCTCAGGAGGTCATTTTGCAGTGATGAGCGTTCTGCCGTCAATGCCGCGATTTCCTCGGAGCTTTCGTGCAGTTGTCGCAGCAGATCGTTCAAACGCTCCTGCGTGAGAGTGGTGACGTCGATGTTTTCGGCCATGACGAAGGGCGTCGGCTCGTCTTAGTCTAGGCGCAGTCGTGGCTGCACGCGTTTACGAGAGAACGCGAGGACAGCGGCTCCTAGGGGCTAAGGTGCGTGAGTCCCTTCGAGTGAAAAATCAAAAGTTGATTTCCTGGTGTGCGGAGATGCGCGGTCCGAAAGAAAGGGGCTCTGATAACCAAGTGTTACGGGTGCAATGAATCGAGGTAGCGAGAATTGCACTAAGGTGTCAAACGAGTACAAAATGTGAGCGAAGGCATGAGCGAACATTTATACGCGAAACATGCAAAACGGTAACGCGGTGCGTGCGAGCTTGCTAGTGCTACGCTGGAGCGAGGCTCGGGCTAGTCCCGAAGCGTAGGCCGATACGGCCATGCCAGCAGTGCGAGGTTTGGTAAAACAGTGCGCGCGAAGTCGGCGAAGTTCCGTTAGCAGTAACGGGCGAACAATCGGCTGTTGCTGTACGCGATGTAGTCGGCTCCGTAAGGAATGCCGAGAAAATTCCTTACACTATACAACAAGGTTCCACACAGCAAAACTTCGTGCTGATAACGACCACTAACGATAACGACCAATGTTTCTCTAGTTGATGGGAATATCTACAATAGCCGGCTTCTTCGGCTCTGGAGGCTTGAACTTCGGGACAGTTACGGTGAGAACACCATTCTCCGAGGTCGCCGCGATCTTATCCACTTCCACGTTATCAGGAAGACGGAATCGCCTCAGAAACTTGCCAGTGCTCCGCTCCACACGGTGATACTTCTCCGTCTCTTCCTTAACTTCCCGGGTCCGCTCGCCGCTGATAGTCAGCAAATTCTTATCTTCGATCTGAACCTTCACCTCGTCCTTCTTCAGGCCCGGGAGATCCGCGATGAATTTGAAAGCCTCGGGAGTCTCTTTCACGTCAACGGCTGTAGACGCCATTGCGTTGCTGTCTCTCACGAATCTTGATGTCGGAGCGTCGAAGAGAGTGCTGAACTCGTCTGGGATGTGCGACAGCCGGAGAAGCGAGTTAAACAGCGGATCGTTGCCGAACGGTGTGAGCGCCATGGTCTACTCGCGCAGTCGACTGTGAAGTTACTACGAAAAGGCTGATAGCGGGCGAGAAGGTAATAAGAGCGCTGTATTCGTTCAATTCTTGATGGCACTCGGGTTAAACTTCGCATGCTTTATACCAACAGATAGTAGGACCACGGCCAAACGTAGCTCGTTAACAATGTATGAAAGTTCCGGAACTGGCACGGCCGCCATGACTCTAGAATGCATACGATGTGTCTGGAACAGCAGTGCTGGCGTTGAAAGCGCGGCATGTCCAATTGAGTGTAGAGTATAAACGTGGAAGATTCTAGGCGAAGCAGGAAACTGACACTGGCGTAGCTCAAAATGGCGTTGTCGTGCTGGATTGGCACTCGAGGAATTTCTAGATTTCAGCGACGACGAACCTTGCAGAATCAGCCATGGCGACAGGGTGGAGTGACGGGGTTGATGAGTGTGATGTGCACTCTAGAATAATCGCGATGCTAAGCTCACGAGCTGCAGTGTACGCGGTATATGGTCTATCGGAAGCAAAGCACTAAGGCTGAACTCTGCTAGCCAAGTTTCAGAGTACGGCTACTTTACAGCCTCGCTAAGTGAATATAAGGCCAGAAATACAAGCCTGACAAGCTCAACCACAATACCGTTTTTACCCTGGTATGCCCAACACAATTACATACAATGTCTATGCTATGAAAATCAAATGACAGGGCTGGTGCAATAATAGTTGCACCATTGTTTAAACTGTACAAAGCAGCTCCATATTTGAGAAACAACTCTCAGAAGTTGCCATAACGAATTCGCTGCTCTACTCAGGTGCTGTTACGACCAGCCGGAGGGTCAATGTCAAAAAAAACATCGGACCCAAAAGGTCCGTCCAAAAGCATGTCCGAAAAGTCCTCTGCTGAAAACATATCAGCATGTGACGTGGGCAACATGTCATGCGATGACGTGCCATGTGGACCTGAGATGTCCACGTCAGCATCAGCGCATGCTCCATCAGCATCAGCACCATCTCCGCTGTGACTGTCCTTGTCCTGTTGCTCGTGCTGCTTGGTGCGAGGGTGAGGGACAAGGAGCGCGAGTGGGAAAGGGGGAGGAGAAGAGATGGGAGGAACTTGCAGAATGAACTTGTAATCTGTGCCACTGATTAAGGCAACACATAGGTGGTGATCATGGAGAAACGCAAACAGAAAACGGAGAAACAGTCCTGAAAAGAGCACACGCCTCACCTCCTCAATCTCGTCGTTGCGAGCGAATCTCCCTCTCACGCGCGGCCGACTGTCCGCCAGGTTCTTACGACACGCATACTGTTCATGCACACGCCAGGTTGCAACCAATGCACAGAGGTGAAAGCGCAGGGGAAAGCAGGCAGCACGAAGGCCGGGGAAGGGCAGTCAGGAGGAGTAGCTGAAGAGTGGGGAGGTTTTATTGATGGAGGAGCACCACTGGCTGCTGAAGGGATTACATTGAAGAGAGCAGGAAGGGGGATACTCCCAAGATATATTGGAAGAGCAGAGCAGGTGACCTTCGAAGTTAGGTAATGACAAATCGCCTGCAATGCAACCCACCTTGATCTTCTTGGTGAAGTTCCTCTCGTGTCTCTTCTGCCGGTACTTCATGATCCGCAGCCGCCGCTCCTCCAACGTATACCGTCCGATTCGAAACACCCCCATCCCCATTCCCATGCCCATGCCCGCTCCCATGCCCATGCCCATGGCCCCCATGCCCATTGCCATACCCCCCATACCCGCAATACCCATGCCCATGCCCAGTCCCATGCCGGTACGGTCATCAAAGGGACTCATTCCTGCTGCTCCAGGTGGGGCTGCGAGGTGGCCGAAGCCCATGGCTAGAGAGCGCATTGCAGCCAGGGACTGGCATGTTGGTAGGGAGGGGATGTGTGGGGAGAAAAGGGGGAGGGGTGGGGCAAGGGAACGCGAGATGATTGATTGAAGGTAGGGCTGGGAGGTGGCCGAAGCCCATGGCTAGCGATCGCATTGCAGCCAGGGACTGGCATGTTGGTGGGGACAGAGGGCGTGGGAGGAAGGGGGGAGAGGGAAAGGGGAAAAGAGGAAGGGGGGGGGGGGGGGGGGGGGGCGAAGGGAGGAAGTGGGAAGATTGAGGGAGAGTAGAAGGGATAAGAGGCACAAGAAGTTGGGATGAAAGAGATTCAACTGGAGCTGAGAGTTGGCCGAAGCCAAATTGCAGCCAGGCGCTTGTGTGTTGGTGGAAGGGAAAGTGTGGTGGGTGGGCGGGGGTGGGGTGGCAATGGGGTTGGGATGAATGGGTGCTTTCGAGAACACGAGCAAATGATAAATCATGCGGGAGCGGATAATTCAAGAGGTTCACTGGGCCGAACCTGAATATCTCCTGTGCTGTGCGCTCGTCTCATGCTGCTAAACGACGGCAGCATCGGAGCCCCCATGCTGCCTCCCATCCCTGCTATGCCGCTCATGCCTCCCCCCACGCCTGCGAAATGCCCCCCCCCAAATCCTCCTGTCAAGCCTGCTGCTGCTGCTGCTGCTGCTGCTGTGGTTGCTGCTGCTGCTGCTGCTGACATCCCTGCTCCTGCTGCCTCTGTCATCATACCCTCCCCTACCACACTCATGCCAGCAGCACCAACAGTGCCACCACCAGCAGCAGCGGCAGCAGCAGCACTAGCACTGGCAGCACCAGTAACATACGAGCCTGCTGCAGCAGCAGTCACACCACCGGAACCAGAACCACCACCACCCGTAGAGGCACCTTGCGATCCCATCCCCCCCATCCCGCCCTTCATCCCACCTGACCCTCCCCCTCCTGCAACTAACCCCTCGCCCATGCCCATGACCCCCCCCTCCATGCCCACAGGCATGTGCTGCCCTGCCAGATGCGCCGCTGCTGCTGCTGGGGGGAGCGGCGGGAGGCCGGGCAAATGCTGCATTTGCAGCTGCCCCAACGCATGGCTGCTAAAGCTCCTCTGCATGCTCATCCCCATACCCATGCTCATGTGCATGCCCATGCCCATGCCTGCGCCCATGCCAGCCCCCATGCCCATAGCCCTTCGGGCACGCAGGATGGGGGATGGGAGGGGTTTCAGCTCATCCTCCTCACCATCCTCGCCATCACCAGTTTCCCCTTCGCCACTTTCGCCATTGCTGTGGTTACCATCCCCATCCCCATCGCCATGGCTGCCCACATGCATGATTGGGTTCCCTGCAACACGACGAGAGCTCTCTGCCCCATCGGCCCCTTTCCCTGAGCCCCCAGCACCGGTTGTACCTCCTCGTCCTGCTCCGTCCCTCCCGGCTCCTGCCCCTCCTCCTGCCTTGCCTGGACTTCTTACATCGCCTGCCCCCCTCAATCTCTCTGCCCCTCGGCCCTGTGCCTCCTCCCCTTGCTCCCCTGTGCTCCCCTCTCCACTATGAGTCCCCCCCACACACCCGTTAGCCATCCCTGCCACAGCCCCTGCTACCCGCCCTGTCCCTGCTGCTGCTGTGCCCTGCCTTGCCGCTGCCGCAGCAGCAGATAGAGGAGCCGTGGCAGACGCAGTACCACTGGCATTGGCAGCAGCAGTGGCGGCAACAGCAGCAGCCGCAGCATAAGCAGCAGCAGAGGTACAGGAAGCACCTGGAGCAGCAACCCCGGGTGTAGGAGTGGTATTACGCGCAGCAGCACCAGGAGTGGTAAAACCGGCAGATTGAGTAGCTCCCCCCGCTGCCCCCCCTATCCCTCCCCCTCCCGCCCCCCATTCCCCCATCTCCGCCCCAAGTCTCTGCCACATGTGCGCGTGCCCATCCATATGCCCGCCTGCTGCTGGAGCCGGCCAATGGGAATGCGACAGCTGTCCAGCAGAGGCAACTCGGCGCATCTTAGCATACGGGCCGGAAGCGGCAGCCGCTGCAGCAGCAGCAGAAGCAGCAGACGCAGAAGCAGCCATGGCAGCAGCAGCAGCAGCACTGGCAGCAGAAGTGCCGGTAGCAGCAGGCACAGATGCAACAGAGGGGGAGGCAGGCACAGCCCTACCCAGTCCTCCCACTCCCCCCGACCCTGAACCCACAGCTCTGGACGATGGGCCGGGCAAAGCTGATCGAGGCGAGGGGGGGAAGGGGGAACGAGGTGAGGGGGGCAGGGTGGAGCGAAGGGAGGGCGCTCCTGGTGACTGCGAGGGCGGGTGCGGTGCTGGTGATGCCAGCGATTGCAGCACGATTCCGGCGGGAGAAAGAACCACTGCGGGCGAACCAGGGGGCAAGGAGCGCATGTTGGAGAGCCCTTCATGCAGGCTCACCCCTCGTCTGATTCCCATAGACGGCCTGTGATGGCCCGCTGCCCTGCCTGCTCCTCCGGCTGCTCCTGCTCTTGTCCCCCCTCCTATGGATCCTGATCTAACCACTCTGTGGCTGTATAAATCTGCATCCCCTTCGAACCCTTCTGTCTTTACGAGTTCTCCAGCCCTGCTGCTGCTTGCCCCTCCTGCTGCTGCTCCTGCTCCTGCTGCCCCTCCTGCCCCTCCTCCTCCTGCTGCTGCGGAAGAAGCTGCAGTCGCTGTTGTTGCTTCCATTGCAGTTGCTGAGCCTGTAGCAGAAACGGGACTGGATCTCCCCGCTGCACCCACAGCACCAACACCACCACCATCAGCAGCACCAGCAATTCTGCCTGCAACTGCAGCTGTTCTAGAAGGGCGTGCAATGCCAACTGGAAGCGCCGGTAAACCAGGGAGAGACGAAACACCAGCGCCCACAATCCCCGCCCCCATGCCCCCCATCCCCCCCATGGCTCCCATCCCCCCCATGGTCCCCATGCCCCCAATTCCCCCCATGCTTCCCACGCTCCCCACTGAAAGGGGGCGAGGCAACGCAGCGCCAGTGGCGTTTCCAGGGAGCATGCCGGGGGGAAAGACAAAGGGCGGGGGCAGGCCTGGGAGGTTGGGCAGGCCGCGCAAGGAAGGGGGCATGATGGGGCGGAGGGCAGGGAGAGTGGTGCCAGTGGCGGTGCTGGTGGTGGTGGCTGCGGTTTGCATTAGGTGAGATGCCATTGCTGCTGTTCCTGTGCTGCTACCAATAACTGCTGCTCCTGATGCGTCCCCTGGTCCTACTCCTTCTCCCCCGCCCACTGGTTGCCCCTCGAGCTGCTCCTGTTTCATCGACTGATTGATGGCACCTTGCATGTGTGGTTGTCCTCCTCCTGCCATGTGCCCTTGTCCCCCTGCTGCAATGTGTCCCTGCCAAGATGCCATCTGAAACGCATGTCTGGCCATGGCTTGTTGCTGTGCCGCTGCCTGCTGCTGTGACATCGGTTGTTGTTGCAACATCATTTGCTGCTGTGACATTGCCTGCTGCTGCTGCTGCAACATCGCCTGCTGCTGCTGCTGCTGCTGCGTTTCTGCGGCTGCTGCTATTGCCTGACCGCCGTGCCTGCTGCTGTGGGAGACTGACGGACTCATCACCCTCCCTCTCTCCTGAACTTGACCAGCAGATGCAGACGCGGAGGCCGACAGACCAGAGGACGACACATGCTGTTGCTGCTGCTGCTGCGTCTGCAGCAACTGCTGCTGGTGATGGTACTGGTACTGCTGCTGTAGCTGCTGCTGTTGCTGGTGTTGGCGTTGGTGCTGGCGCTGCTGTTGGTGGTGGTTGTGAGGCTGTGTAAGGCCTTGAGCCTGAGACGGTAGAGGCTTGCAGGCCGAAGGAGGAGACGAGCTCATCGTGTGGCTGTCGTTGGAACCTTGAGGTGATGACGTGGCAGCAGCAGCGCCTGCCATGCGCACTCCTTCTACCCTACCCCCTTGCTGCTCCCCTGATTCTGTAACATTCATGTGGTTACCGGCACTCATGGTATTACCACCTTCAAACCCAGCCCCATCTCCGTCCTCCATATAGGCTGGCTCAAAGACCCGTTTTAGATTTGACTTAGCGGTTGGAGTTCTCGGTTTCACCTCTCCTGTAGTCCTCCCCTCAAGCGTCTCACCCTTGTTCTCCCTCCCAGGCACACACATACCAGAGCATGTGTTACCACCACCTGCGTTACAGGTTCCTGCACCTGCCACCAAACCTGGCATGGAACCAGCTCCGGCACCTCTGGGAACGGCACCACCCGGAGAAGCAGCAGCAGCTTCAGACGCATCAGCAGCAGAACCACCAGCCGCAGCAGGACAAGAAGCAGCACCCGCACCAGCACCGACAGCACCAGCACCTGCACCATCACCAGCAGCAGCAGCACCAGCAGTACCAGCAGGCAGGGGTTGAAGGCCAACGCGAGCCTCGGTGCCATGCACATAAGACTTAAAGACCACGTCGTCGTTGCACAGCTCGTGCTGGCTGGGCGCGTGGACGGCGTCTGGCAGCACAGGGACACCCCCACCGCCGGACGTCCCCGCGTTTGTAGCAGGACCGGCGTTCGTGGCGGACAGTCCGTTCAATGCGGCGCTCATGGCGGCGAGACCGTCGTCTGCCAGGCCCATGTCGCCCATGGCGTCGAACGTGATGCTCTGCCGTGGATTGGGGGAAAGGATAGGGAGATGGACAGGCAGAGAACGATGAAAAAAGAGTATCAAGAGCCACGAAAAAACGGCAAAACTTGATGTCATGGCACGGAGTGTGTGTGATGAAGGCGAGGATACAGTAGAGGGAAAAGGGAAGAAACGAGACCAGGTAAGACAGCGCGAACCTCGCATGCTAGGACTGATGAGGGAGACGGAAGAACGAGGAGGGGGAAACGGATTGGATAAGGCGATTGGGGAAAGTGAGGCGGGAGGAACGAAACGGCGGATGCTGTTGACTCGACTCTCCTAGAGATATGTATACTAAGAATGGCGATGGCTTGTGACTAAAGCGGACGCACCTCAAAGTCTGTCATGGAGAATATGGCGTCGTCAAACTCCCCTTGCAGGAAATCCGCTTTCGCCGAATCAGCCATGGTTATTTCGAAGCTTCAAGAATTTGTTATGAGGAGCCCTAGGCGACAATGAGCTCTGAACGATGACGAGTTGATTTCGAGACGCTGGCTGATAAGGGGCTTTGGCTGACAGGTATCTCTGAACGTTAAGCTGTGAATGATAAGCGGATTCTGAACGTTAAGCTGAAAAGGTGAATGGTAGGTCCGAACGTTAAGCTGAAAACGTGAATGGATGCTCTAAACGTTGAGCTAAAAAACGTGTTCTGACGGAAAGGAGCTCTGACTGAGATGTGGCGGGTAAGGAGGAGGCCTGACTGATAGAAGCACTGAATGATAGGAACCCCTGATATATAAGTAGCTCTGACTGACTAAGAGGTTGGAATGACTTGGAAGCTCGTAACGATAAGGAGATTAATACCGGCTTCTACAGCTCTAGCAATTTCGTCTTCAAGAGGCTGATTGTTTGGGGGAGGTTCGGCCTAAAGGGGCTTCTAAGAAGACCGACCGTATAACGGTTCTTGATAACGAACTACACGTGTCAGAAAAAGTGTAGCACACAAATTAGGGTGCTCGTGCGCCAACTATAAGGACTAGGATGGGAAGAAAGGAATTGTTGGCTACGGACACTGGAAGAGGAGTGTCATGTCATCAGATTGTTCAGTTAAGCTGCAGAATTCCGAAGACGTTCCAACTTAATAAGGCAACTTGAGCAGCCTTAGGAGCCAGCGCTGTTTCGAGGAAACAGGACAACTAGTCAACAGTCGGTCTTATACCCTGAAGTGACGGATGGTATCGGAGTTTTGGAAGCTAAGATTGGACCTTCCTGGACTGGTGCATCAGCAGCCCCTGACCCCTTCCCAGCTGTTCAAATTTGGCTCTGTAACTCGATGGTACCAAACCAAATGACAGGGACAGCAGCACATCGGTAGTAGCAACACACAGCAGGGGCATTTGCAGGACGAGGTGGAAGAGAGCTCGTGAGAAGAGCTCTTTTCGACTAAGGCAGTTGTTGCAGGCAGTTCATAATATCAGTAGCAGCTTTATTTGGAGGAGCAGAAAGCTTTCGACAAGCTCGAGGTAACAGCTTCGCCTGGGGGTCTCTCATTCGCACCTCCCTCGATTCTGTCATCAATTGTGTCTGGACGTCCGAAATCCCTTGTTTACATCCGATTCCGCTCGTTATCGTAACTTTCTCCAAGCGTATCTGTGTTTCCTGAAAAGGGCGACCCTTGCCAGACCTGTCCACCTCGAGGAAGGCAGAGGGTGTTGAGGATGCGAAGATGCCACGTCATCCTTTCGCTCTCGTCATCCTCCCCTTTTTGCAGCCATGGAACTTTCCAAAGCTGGAGCTGTGGAAGGTTTGCACAGTAAAGTTCCCTTTTCTCTACAATCCAATAGCAGACAAAGAAAAGCACTGTACGATATCAACAGTGCGTCACTGAGGATGCCAAATCAGCGGCTCGAGCACAAGAAAAAGCTGGAAAGACTACTTCTGATTGGTTTACAATTGTTAAGTATGCGGCAGAGAACAGCTGATTGCAATTTGACAAAATTCGTGCTGAATGTCAAGATCTACACTCTACAGTAGGAGTTACAAATTATTTTCTTATAAACGTTTTCCAAGACAACTGGCTATAGGTGGTTAGAGATTTTTGGTAGACCATGAGACAATCATCAGTTGGCACTAATCTGGGCCTCCCTTTCCTTCACAAGCTTGGCGTATTCGTCACGGCTTGATGCGATCAGTTGCTTCACGGTGTCATACGTTGTCAGGCGAATGCTGCCAGCCATTACAAGAAAAAACGGGGGGGGGGGGGGGGGGGGGGCGGAGGGGCAAGTTGGGTTGCTAGTCTGTGCTAAAAGCTCAGAAGTTTTATTAAACAGCAACACAATCACACAGCAGCACAAGCAAGCAGCCACCCACCTGCTGTTAAAAAGGTCCTAGAGGACAACGAAGCATCTGTACGGCCCAACCACGCCATCCCTCGCAATGATGCCCAGAATGGCATCAAACACTGAGGAGAAGGGCGACCCCTTCATACAGAGGGGTTGGTATGTATGGCACCCCCTCAGCAGCAGCACAAGCAGGCAAACACCCACCCACCTGCTGCAAGAAGGTCAGGAAGGTTCTCACCTGCTGTTAGGAAGGTTCTTGAGCGCGTTGGCAATAAAACCCCGGTACAGCCCGACCACTCCATCCCTCGCAATGATGCCGGGAATGGCGTCAAACACCGAGTTGAAGGGCGAACCCTTCATCTGCATCTGCCGCCGCACCGTGTCGAGCGGGTAGCACATCACAGTTGCAAACGTGGTGGCACAGAGGGCGGTCACAAAGGAGGCCTGCGGGGTCTTGCGGTACTTCTCAGGGATCGAGCGCTTGATGCTGCATAGGTGGGGGGAGTGGAATGAAAGGCAGAAGGAGAGAGGGGGGGGGGGACAGGTGGAAAGGGTCGAGGAGGAGGTGTTCAGGTTCAGGACGTGGTGAGGGCCAGTGCAAGCAAACGACACCACATCCTGGGATGAGCACTACGGAAGGGAGGGGGTGGAAGGGGAGTGATGGAGCTGGGATGAGCTGCATATGAGGGCACAAGCGTCATCAGAATTTACTCACACGTTGCTGACACATAGGCTTCAGAGCTCACAGTCACATATGGGAAGGGAGGGAATCACAGGTCAAACGCGCAGAAGTTGAGAGCGATGTAGGGCGCGATGGAGATGAGGGAGGGCGCGAGGCCCTTGTAGAACGACAGCACGCCCTCCTCGCGGATCATGCCCATCGCCACCGAGCGCATTCCCCTTGATGCCGGATCCACGGCCAGGCGCAGCCTCAGAACGTCCAGGGGGTACGTGATCTGAGGGGTGGAGGTGCGAGAGGAGACATGGGGGAGAAAGGAGGGGGTTGGGTTGGGTGCACGGGTACTACTAGCTACAGCACGCCCTCCTAGCCCAGGGGCCAGGGCTACTGAAAGCATGCCCCTTGACGCCGGATCCACAGCCATACGCAAACGCAGCACGCCCAGAGGGTAGGTGATCTGGGGGATGGTGGAGGGGGGAGGGGGGAGGGGGGAGGAGAAGAGGGAGGAAGTGGGGGAAGGGAAAGGTGGGACAGCAGGGGGAAGGGGGGGAAAGAGGAGGGGGGATTCAGGGGAGGAGAGGGGAAGGATGCGGTTTGGAGAGGGGTGAGGACATTGCATGTAAGGACATGGAATAAAAGTGAAGACAATAAAAATAAGAGTGCATAGAACATGTGCCATGGGATGCACACACCAACTGGTACTGACGTCATGCCAGCACACACGTACCAGTGTTGACGTCATGCCAGCACATGCGCCAGCTGCCAGCCTGGCAGGCACCGAGAGCTCCCCGTCCTTGCCCAGGAATGCCTTCTGCTCCACCCCATACCCGTTATAAGCGCATGAAGACGGACAGAATGGGGAAGAACAAAGAAAAAGGTTACAAAAAAGACAAACAACGAGCTTCAGCAGTTCCGAGTTATTACAGGCAACAAGCTCTCATGCCAAACGCAGTTGCATACTGTGGAATGAAACGAAGATGAAACGTACCTTGTACATTTCATATGCGAAGAGCTGAACTGCACTGTAGGGAATGATACGGATGACCTGAAGAGACGGGACCATAGGGGGACGACGCAATGCGTTAGGGCGGAACGCAAGAAAACACAAAAGTTACAAAAAAATATATGTGCACGCTGAAAACACTAAGTAATCAAATCGGCATGAACAAATGACTTCATAAAGTTATGTCTGCACACACACACACACACACACACACACACACACACACACTCACAGAGACAGACAGACACAGACGACCTAGATATTACCTACCCCAGTGACCACCCAGGCGACGCACCTGCGGCAAGTTGCCCTTCCAGTAGCCCAGCACGCCCTCCTTCTGCCCGATCGCTAGAAACGACTGCTCGCGCAAAACAGTAAAGCGACAAAAATAGGGGGATGAGAATTTCCTACTGTCGCGATGGAATTTGCGGAGGAAAAGAGAGATGAGAAAAAAAAAAGAGGTAAAAAAACGATTTTAGGACGTCAGAGAATTTCCGACAACGCGTTGAGCGAAGAATGGCGAAATGTATGTGAAAACATCGCAAAATCTAGGCGAAACCGTGCGAAGACAACGCGCGTGCATACTCACGTCCAGCAGCCCGACCGGCTTGGCGGCGACGCCTTGAGGCATCTGCACGCTGCGCACCTGCGAAACACGCGGGGGGAGGGGGGGGGGAGGAGAGGATAGGGAGAAAGTGTTATAACAGTTGGAAGATCGAACACGTCTTGAGGCATCTGCACGCTGCGCACCTGCGAGACACACGCGGAGGGAGGTGGGGGGCGGGCGGAGGAGAGGAGGAGAGGGGAGAGGGGCAGGGAGTGGGGGAGAGGGTAGGGAGAAAGTGTTAAGAAATGTTGGAAGGTCGGCGACGCCTTGAGGCATCTGCACGCTGCGCACGTGCGAGTCACACACGCGGGCGGGACGCGGAGAAAGGAGGGATTGTGGTGTGGACAAAGGGGATTGCGGAGAGGAAGAGGGGTAAGGGTGGTTGTGGGGGGGGGGGGGGGGGGGGAGGGGAGGGGAGGGGAGGGGAGGGGAGGGGAGGGGAGGGGAGGGGAGGGGAGGGGAGGGGAGGGGAGGGGAGGGGAGGGGAGGGGGTAAAGAATTGGGGGAGGCACATAGCAGGGTAGCGGGGTATGCTTATAGCGGGGTTCATTCGAAGGTCACTGACTGGTGAAGGTACGGAGACGGGTCGCGGCGACTTGAGGCGGTAAATATTAATGAAGACCCTTAACCGCGGGCAGTAAATATTAATGGTTCTTAATGCCATTCCTGTTAGGCAGTGGTAAAAAAAACGCACCTCAACTTGCTCTGCTAGCATGAGCGTCCAGCGATGCGCATACCTGCGGCGCTTCGCGCAGCGATAAGCCTTTAATCTTAATCATCTTTCACCCCCTTAATGTCCACCAAATACCGGTGGCACGAGCTTCATAATCGTATCTTTCACTCTTTCTTCCCCCTCTCTCCAACCCCGCACACCCGCCCCCCCCCCCCGCGCCCTCCCCCCCTTCCCCCACGCGGCCCCCCACTCCCTTCCCCCCGTTCCCCTTCCTTCTTCTTACCTGCAGCATGAGCTTCCAGCGGTCCAGCGGAGCCGTCACCGTCTTGGCCGTGCCGCCCGCGACGGCGCCGGCGAAGAACAGCGCCGCGTCTTTCGGGATGAAGCTGAACAGCGCGATGGGCTTACGCAGGTACTGCGCGAGCGTCGGCTTCACCGCATTTCCCCCCGCATCTGCCGCCGCTGATCCCGCTGACGAAGCGCCTCCGTCTTTTTTCTCCGGGGCTGCTGACGCGGGTGCTTTTAGCGAGTCGGCAGCTACAGCGGCGAAAGGGGGACTGGAAACGAATTGGACGGTACCAACTGCGCTGCGGGTCGACCCGCGCCTTCGGATTGGCCAATGCACAGCAGGCTGAGAGCTTTCTAGTTGCGCTGCATTTGTCGATTTCTGGCGCAGTTGAACCTTCCCCAATTGTACCTTGACGAACCGGTCGAAACGCTGCTTCTGATGATCGACGGCATTGTGAAGGGAGGAGGCGAAAGACGCGGGATCGAATCCTGGAAGGGTCAGTGCGAAGCCTGGGCCATCTTTCCCGTCTAAATTGGAAAAATCGGACACGTGGGGCGCTGTTATACGCCTGACCATCTTCGCTCGCGCCTTGAACGTGTTTCACGATAGCGTGTTTAGGCTCGAACGTATGGCAAACCCGACAGGATCCAGAGCGACGACGCCACCTAGTTTCAGAACCCAGTAAGAACCGAAGAATACACCAAGCTGTCAATGCGACCAGTAATAAAATGAAAAAGGGGACGAGAAGTTAGTTGACCAGGAGAGTGCAAATGGCCAATCTAGGGTTTTGCGAGCTAAAACCACTGAGCTGCTGCCGAATCAGATTAGTGCAGCCATAACTAGATATGGCTAGAAACCTCGTTCAACCGGTCGAGAATGTAAACAAACCGTTCATCGAATCGGATTATGAACTCTTACGAACGAAAGTTTCATGGCTTGCTTCCGTGGCATAGCCACATTCATAGCACTGTATTCCAGACTGAACACTAGTGATGTTTCACGAGTGTTGTGATCTGGATATGTCTGATGTGGCGCGTCCTCCTACATCCACGTGCATCAATGACCTTTCCACGTCAAAACATATGGGGGAGAATCGAGCAGCAAGTTACGATCGCAAGGCCGCATATGTTTGGAGTGTAGTGTACATGTTTAGAAGGCGCATATCATTGAGTGCTAATTTACTCCATATAGCCTTACCCAGATGGCATGTTGTGATTCGAGTTTTACACAAGTATCTTCAAGAAGCAACTCACTTTTCCTCTCTTCCTTGAAACGTGCTTCGTCTCATTGTCGTGGAAGCGCGGGTTCCAGATTGTCAGTTTTGCGGACCAATGGGGAATGGCTTATACACAATGTCAGAGATGGGGTGCTATGATGACATCAACACACACCTTAGCCTTCCGTACCTGACTTGTGATTCTTTGATCTTTGTCGAGCCTATCGCCGAACCACAAACACATCGACTCTGGCATGCGGGCGGACCCCTGCCGCAAGCTGCGCAGAGCCGACCCAGCTGGCTTCTTGGCAGGTGTCGCATTTGACGGGGTCTGACCTGTCCCCACCCCATGGCTTCCCGGTGTTCATATTTTCCCTCCCTGGCCGCATCGTGCGGTACGATGGATTTCGTTTCGTCACCCTTTTTCAGCTGCCACAAAATGTTTCTGTTTGTTTGTTTTAGTTAATTTATTATATACTTACGGTACTTTTTCCACACATACTGTACGAGGTTTCCGCAAACGTACGTTTCCCACATCCAAAAGGCCCGATTCGCCTAGTTTCGCTGCTGGAGAAATCGGAAAGGCTGACTCACTTGTCGCGCTTTTCCCTGATCACCTGCCGCGCACATGACTCAGAGCCGGCATGTCACCCGCCACCAACAGAAGCGCAACCTCGAGAAGGCCAAGGTCGCCGCGCAGGCCAAATCCCAGGTAGTGTTTCGTGGGCACAGCGAACACTAAACAAGGGCAGGGGCTCTCTCTGTTGTGGGATGTTTTGTTGGGCAATGATCCATTTCAAACCTCAGCCGAGGCTTGTCGCCATTGCCGAGCCCACCGTCCGTACCTACGTGCAGGTTCTGATTCGCGGAAGCTGTATCCTCCCGAAGCGTCAACTTTGCCCAGCCTGCCAAAGTGCCCCTCCAAGCATCCCCCACCCCGCCCCAACCTGCCCCTCTCCCACAGATCCCAATTTCCCAACACGACAGACAAGTGTACCCAACCCAACCCACCAAGAGGCATAAAAGCTCAGTGCTTCGAACCCTTCACGAGTACTTGCGTTGAAATCTTAGGACTGAGGCCGTTGAAGCAACTTCCCAAGTGGCTCGTTCTTGATCTTCGCCTACTCGAATCTGTGAATGAGTGAGATGTTTCATGATTGTAGATCTCGTTTTTTGCGACTCTTGACCGTAGGGAGAAAGTGGAATAATCCACTCCCAGAAGGTGTAACCGACCTGGCTGATAACTTTCAATAGAGGTTGTCGACAAGCTTTCCGCATTGAATCGCATGTACTTCGGCCGTTGCGATATGGCGGCAGCCACCGCTTCGCCGATGTTAGATATTGCAAGAATCGCCGCCGTCGCCGCCGCAGGCGGCGCTGGCGCCGTCGCGAGGGCAACCGCCCCTGCGACGACGAAGAGAGGCTCGAAGCGCCCGCGAGACGTCACTCCGGCTGGCGAGGTCTTCTCTTCTCCCTCCACCCCTTCGCATTGCGCTTCCTCCGCTCGAACCGCAGACCATAAGGCTCTCGCAGTCGCGGCGTGTTCTCTCCCTTCTTCTCTCTCCGCGCCCTCTTTCTCACTCTCTGTCCCCCTTTCTTCTCTCTCTGTTCCCCCTTCCGCTCTCTCCGCTCCCCTCTCCGCTCTCTCCGCTCCCCCCTCCGCTCTCTCCGCTCTCCCCTCGGCCGATATGCACACTCCGCCGACTCCCTCTTCCGCCCGGCGCGCTTTCAAGCGCCGCCTGGTTCCATGGGACGAGAACGACGATGCGCTTGTCCTTCCCCCTGCCGTTCCGCCGACTCCAAGCTCTGTGCTGCGGTCCGCGCAGTGCCTCTCCGCCTCCCCCGCATTCCCGCGCCTTGCGCCCCCTCCGACTCCGCTGCTTCTCGAGGAGGTCGACAGCGACAGCACCTGCAGCAGCCCCGTAAACCCCCACCGCGTTCCGCAAACCCCCCGGCTTTCCGCTCAGCCCACGAGCGCCCCTGCGGAAACGCCAGCGGAAGATTCGCGCAAGCGCCAGCGCGCGCAGCCCTCACAGGTGCAGCGGCTTGAGGAGGTGTTTCAGGCGGCGGTAGCGCCGCAGGGAGGATCCGCGCATGGGGGAAAGGCGCAAGCAGGGGGGCAAGTTGTCGTGTCCCCGGAGCGGCAGTGGCAGCTGGCGGCGGAGCTGGGGCTTCTCCCCCGACAGGTCTCCGCGTGGTTCCAGACGCGGCAGCTGGAGTGGCAGGCGGAGCAGGGGGAGGCGGAGCTGCGGAAGATGCGTGCGGCGCACGCGGGATTGGCGGAGCAGTGCTGCGAGATGCGGAACGACTACGAGCTGCTGAAGGGGGACTACGCGCAGATGCTGCTACACATTGCAAAGATTCTCAACAAGATCACGCAAATCGAGAATCTCCTTAACGCGGACGAGAAAAAATCGAAGGCACGAAGCCCGTATGTCCGTAAAGAGCTGATTTCCCATCCGCATCAGACGGGCGTGGATCAGAATAGACACCGCGCGGAACGAGGTGATCAGAAGGGGATTGTGATGGAAATGGCGCAGAAAACCGCGGCTTGCGCGCAATATGTGATGGAGTCACCTGCGGACGACAAATCCCAGTGGGGAGCGGAAGCGGAGCAGCTCGTTTCCGTTTCCGCTTCCGCAGACACCATAGGCAGCGACGGTGGAGCTCCGCGTGCGGACCTTTCCTCTCCGCAGGGGGGTGAAGGCGATCTCTCCGGCACGTTCTTGGATGATTTCGAGGAGCTTTCGGGCAGTTTGGGCGGGCAGCAAGATTTCTTTGAGGCTGCGACTGCAGCGGCGGAAGCTCCTCTGAGAGAGATGGGTCTCGGGGAGGCGCAGCATCAGGGGCTGGCGCAGCATCAGGGGGTGGCGCTGCAGGCGCAACATGGGGCGCAGCAGAAGCCAGATAGAGCGCAGCAGCAGCGCCAAGCGGAGGCGCCGCACCTGGGGGAGGTGCATTATAAGGACGCGCTTTTGGAAGAGGCCTCAGCTCAGGAGGTGACTGGGGCAGGAGGAAAGGAGGCAGAAGAAACATATGAGGTGTGTGGGGCTGGCATGGATGCTGGCATGGATACAGATCTGATGGGGCTGTTATGGGGCTGTGGCGGCGATGGTGATGACATCGTGATGGGGTGAAATTGATTTGGACAAGGTAATTGGGGTATCTTGGTAATAAAATCTGGAGACGTTAGGGTGAGAGGCATCAGCTTATATACAAGATAAGATCACAAGGTGAACTCATATTTTGGAATAAGATGTGGAGATGTTGAAGTGCTACCTCTTGGAGAGCTCTTTCGTACAGAGCTTTGGAAGTGTCAAGCTCCCGCATTGTTGCATTATATGTTGTTGTTACTATAAATGTTCAATACTGGGTAATAATGGCCTCTAGTGGTCAACACTTGTGCTTGTTGCTTTAGAGGTTCCAAGCACGGTTGTATTCTGCTGTATTAAAGGTGTAATTTTTGAAGTGAATAAACCTTTGTGTTCAGTCTCATAGCGTTGCGAAAAACACTTTCATCCCACCAGAGACACGCAATCCCCTTCAAAAGCTTTTGGGGGAGGTGTGGAAGGTCGATACAGTGCTGCTCAGAGATGCAACAGCTCACCCTTGCTCCAAGTGGGCCAGCATTTTTCACTAAGGGCTGCGTCAAAGACATACGGTAAGTTTTTGACGTAGCCCTCAGTGAAAAAGTTAGGTTGGAAGTTGCGTCTTTGTACGGAATGAAAAAAAAAAAAAAAGTAAAAAGTTCGGCACCGTATACTCCCGGACAAAACACCCCCCCATAATTGTACACCCCCGGGTAGCTTGTGCGGGGTGGGTGTTATGATAGACCTCGTTTCTACTATACCCCCCTTTTTGGCTGATTTTCTATAACACCCCCCTTTTCTTACGGATTCATTATTATAGTCGTTAACGAGTAGCTGCAATACGGAAGAATATCGTGTGAATTTCTCCCTTAATGGAATTTCGCCCCCTCCCACTATTTCTCTGTTGCCACGTGCAGGTGAATCTTCCGTTGCAAGTGGCAAGAGAGGTGTCACATGGCATTTTCGTGAGGGCGATGAAGTTCGAGGCCGAAACTGACATTCGCGCCTCAGGCAGTGATGCTAAAACGACCAGCAAAACACCCACATTGACTAATTAAAAAAACACTAACACTAAAATATGCCATATGTAAAGACCCGGGTATTATGTATTTTTTTCCTATGAGGAGACCCCCCCCATTTTTTCCCTGTATTTTTAGCTATACCCTAGGGTGTTATGTCCGGGAGAATACGGGTAGGTTTTTTAATTGGGTGTTTTGTTGCACTGTGTTACGAGTGCAATTGAGTGAACGAACGAGAATTGCACTATCGAAGCAAGAATACAATTGGGCGAAGGCATGAGCGAACATTATATAGCGAAACTATAGTGGTAACGGTAATGGTCGCGCGACGAGCCTGGGACTGAGGTTTGGAAAGTGTCGAAGCGTAGGCCTGGAGCGCGGGTTACCAGCCGAGCCGTGAGGTCGGGATGCGATGTGCAAAAAGGGCGGGATGATGAATGATGCGATGGTCGCGAGTGGTAACGGTGCTGACTGAGGTGCTACAGTGATGTACGCGTTGAGCAGGGACGCGAAGTAAGGAAAGGGGAATTTCCTTACACTACCCCCCCCTCCTAAGGAGGTCCTCCTTATGAAAGCGCGTGGATGTCTCATAAATTGCGGCTACGCAGGTAGTCGGTGACGACGGGGTGATTTTCAACTTTCTCCAGGGGAACCCGATTGTCCTCGGTGGGGGTACGATCTTTCCAGCGGATCAGAAACTCCACTTTTCGGGCTCCTCGAGGGTCGCGAACTCTGTGGCTCAGGATCTTGTCGGGGGTGATGACTGGTTCGGTTGGTGGTCGTGTCATGCTGGTGGGTCGATGTCGTGGGAGTTGGCTGGTGGATGGCACGTAAGGGCGAAGTAAGCTAACGTGGAACGAGGGGCTGACGTACCAGCCAGCAGGGAGGAGGAGGTGCGCGGTGACTGGCGTAACCATGTGACTGATTCGAAATGGACCACAGTATCGAGGGCGGACTTTTGGAGTGATGGGCAGGCGGATGTTCTGAGTGTCGAGTAAAACGAGGTCGTCGGGCTGATAAGTAATGGGTCTGCGATGGCGATCGGCGTTGCGTTTAGCGATGATGTTTGATTTCTTGATTGCTTCTGCTGCCCTGGTCCATGCTGCTTGCAGAATCTCGGCGAACTGTTGTGCTCGTGCGACGGGGTTGTCGGGATTCGGCGTCATGGGTACTGTTGGGTCCTGTCCGTAATTCAAGTAAAACGGCGACTGTTGCGTCGTGGCTGATGGTGCGTTATTGTATGCGAACTCGATGAGTGGCAGCTGCTGTTCCCACGTATTCGGATCGTCGCACGTGGCTCGAATCAGCTGCTCCATGGTCTGATTTGTCCGTTCCGTCTGTCCGTCGGTTTCGGGGTGATAGGATGAACTAAACTGTAAGCGCGTGCCCGACTGCTGCCACAGGTTCCGCCAGAAGTTGCTTGTAAATTTCGTGTCCCTGTCGCTGAAGATCGATGCGGGTATCCCGTGCAGTCGAACGACGGTGGTGATGAAGAGTCGGGCGGTTTCCTCGGCTGTGATTGATTTCCTGCATGCTGCGAAATGAGCCATCTTCGTTAGTCGATCGACGACGACCAGGATCGCGTCATTCCCACTCGCCCCAGCTGGTAACCCCGTGACGAAATCCATCGTCACCTGCTGCCAAGCACGCTCTAGGGGCGGGATGGGTTGTAATTGTCCCGCCGGCCGCTTCCTGCTTTACTTCATGAGCTGGCAAGTGGGGCACGATGCCACGTGTCGTTGCACATCGGTCAACATTTCTGGCCAGTAGTAGTACCGCTGCAGCTGCTGTCAAGTAGCAGCGCCATACTTTGAATGCGTGCACGATCGCAAGCATTTCGCGGTCGTGTATCGGGTAATTTCGCTCACGCGGATGTAGTTTGCGTGATTCGTAGGCGATGGGTTGGAGGCCGTCGCCGAAGTCCTGTAACAGTACAGCTCCGATGGCGATGTCACTTGCGTCGGTAACCACTTCGAAAGGGCGGTGGGGATCAGCGAAGCGTAGAACGGGTGGTGAACAGAGAACGTTTTTCAGGGCAGAGAAGGCAGCATGCTCCTTCTCCCCCCACGTAAAAACGACCCCCTTACGCAGTAAATCAGTGAGTGGGGCTGTTAAACGTGCCATGTCGGGCACGAACCGTCGAACGTAATTAACAAAACCTAAAAAACTCTGCAGTTCCGTGATGTTCGTCGGGGGGCGCCACGCTTTTACCGTATCCAGCTTCTTTGGGTCAATCTCAACCCCAACCTCCGAAATGACGTGACCCAAAAACTCTAGCCTGTCCCGAAAAAACTTGCACTTGGAGTTATTGGTGAGTAGCCGATGTTCCTCCAAAACCTTAAAAACTGCTTCAAGATCCACTAAGTGTTGCTGCTTATCCCGGCTGTAAACTAGAATATCGTCCAGGTAAACTATCACGCATTTATCTAAAACTGGTCTAAACGCCTCGTTCATGGTCATCTGAAATGTCGCAGGCGCGTTCGTCAGCCCGAACGGCATTACTGTATACTCGAATGACCCGTACCTAGTCCTAAATGTTGTTTTGGCGCAGTCCGATGGTTCGACCCGAATCTGATGGTAACCTCCCCGTAAATCTATTTTCGAAAAGACTCGTGCTGTTCGCAGTTGGTCGATCAGTTCGTCGGCGCGGGGGATGGGGTATCGCGATTTGACTGTTACCCTGTTAAGCGCTCGGTAGTCGATGCACATGCGGAACCCTCCGTCTTTTTTCGGTGTGAACAGTATCGGTGCGGCGAACGGTGACGAGCTCGGACGGACAAACTGCTTCTCTAACAGGTAATCTAACTGCTTCCTTAACTCGTCGAGCTCGGGCTGTGTCAGTCGAAATTGCCGCTGTACAGTTGGCTGTGCCCCCGGTTCTAACTCGATCCTATGGTCGTGCGCCCGCTGAGGTGGCAGTCCCTGTGGTAAATCATCCGGAAATATCCCCGGGAACTGTTTCAGTAGTGCCTGTAGTTCGGTCGGTACAGTTGCCAGCAGTTTCTCCAAATCACTCGGCTGCTCATTTTTTTCTACGAGTGCGATATCCACTGCGTACACGTCAGCTCCAGCAGCGACAGCCCGTTTCATCGTGATGGCGTTGACCTGGACCGTCGAAGATTTGGGTGGCTGCCAGCGAGGTAGAACGACCCAGTTACCACTACTTCGCACTGTGCAGCTCCCCGTCGTCCAGTCGATCCGTGGGTTGTACCGTCGCAGCCAATCACGTCCCAATAAAATGTCGTGCCCATCCAGTGTCGTCGCGAGCATTTCCTGTGTAAACCCGAAGTTCCCCCCGAAGCGGACTTTTACGCGCTCCACCTTTTCCCGTATGGCCAGGGGAGTGCCGTCGACTAAGCGTGCATCTATCTCAGGTAAACATCGGTTAAGCGTTAACTGTAATTTTCGTGCGGTTGCGGTATTAACTAAGCTGTGGCTTGCTCCTCCGTCAATGAAGATCTTCACTGCTGCTCCCTGTATTTTCCCGTAGATCAGTACCGGGCAATCCGTCGCTGTACCCTCCTTATTCATCCGAGCCCGATCGATGGCGTGAATCGGTACTGTGACTCGGTGAGGGTCGGTGTGGTTGGGCGAGCAGGCTGTCTCGTCAGTAGTTGGCCCAACTTCTACTGACTGCTGGCGTTTCCCTGCCTCCGAGACTCCCTCCCCTGCTCTGCTCCTCGACGCCTCAGCTCCTCTGGACATTCGCTCTTGCGATGGCCCGGCCGGTTGCAAGCAAAGCAGCGCCCTCTAAACGGCGCGGCAGCTGCATTCGCTACGACGGCATGTACAGTGGCGTGCTCGGTCGGTCCCCGAGGACGATGTCCGTAATAGGACCCCGGTCTCGGTCGGCGTAGGATATCGATTTTCTCGGCGAGCGCGAGGATCTCGTTGAAATTCGAGAGCCCGCGTAGCATTATCTCGTGCGAGATGTCCGGCTTCAGCCCTCCGACGTAACGGTCCACCCGCTCTGCCTCGTGCATGTAGCCGACCTGTTCGCAAAGTGCGAGAAACCCGCTGGTGTAGTCT